GATCACACCAATGGAGCTTTCATACAGTCTAAATTGTTAAAATTCTTTGATTTAGTGGAATATAAGACCGCTGTGTTTATGTATAAAGCCAGGAACAATTTATTACCTGGTGGAATTCAAAAACTATTTAATGAAAGGGAAGGGGGATACAATTTAAGGGGTCAGTTAAATTTAAAAATTCATGTTATACGTACAACCAAAAAAAGATTTTGTATTTCTATAAGTGGGGTCAAATTATGGAATGATTTAAGTGTGGACATGAAAAACAGTACTAGAACTGACGAGTTTAAATTTAAATATAAATGTATGTGTCATTCAAGATATATGCAAGAATTAGAGATTTAATCAAAATCATGAAGGAAACACTCTGTTTTAAGTTTTCTGTGTATTACTTGTTGGTGAAGAAGAGAATCAACTATGTAGAGATACTGCTTGCAGCCAATGATGCATGAAATTTTTTGTATAAGATGATGTTCTGGGGTAGGACTGGATAAGTCTGACTTCTTTCTACTCCATTCAAACATGTGCTGGTATAAGCAAACTGATTCTTGATTAGCAGTGGTTGGCTTGTGTAATTATGTGTGTGTGTGTTGATGTCATTTGTTCTGCATGTTTGAAAGAATAAATCAAATCAAATCAAATCAAATCAAAATCAAACACATGTAGACTGGTTGGGAAAACTCCCATGAACCCTCCAATACCCTAGTGAGGGTATAGAGCTGGTCCAGTGTTCCACAGCCAGTGTGAAAACTGCATTGTTCCTCCTGAATCTGAGGTTCGACTATCGGCCAGATTATCCTCTCCAGTACCTGGCATAGACTTTCCCAGGGAGGCTAAGAAGTGTGATCCGCCTATAGTTGGAACTCACTCTTCGGTCCCCCTTCTTAAAATGTGGGACCAGTCCAGAGGCACCATCCCTGAACTCCCCGCAATGCTGCAGAGGTATGTCAGCCAAGATGGCCCCACAACATCCATAGACTTGAGACTCGGGGCGGACCTCATCCACCCCCGAGCCCTTACCACTGAGGAGTTCCTTAACTACCTCGGAAACTTCAGCTAGGGTAATGGACAAGTCTCATTCCGAGTTCCTAGCCCTGGCTTCCTTTAAAGAAGGCGTGTCGGAGGGATTGAGGAGATCTTCAAAGTACTCCTTCCACTGGCTGACAACATCCTCAGTTGACGTCAGCAATCCACCACCTCCACTGTAAACAGTGTTGGCAGAACACTGCTCCCCCCTCCTGACAGTTCTCCAGAATCTCTTTGAAGCCAACTGAAAGTCTTCCTCCATAGCCTCACAGAACACCTCCCAGGCCCAAGTTTTTGCCGTGGTGACTGCCAGAGCTGCGTTCTGCTTGGCCTGTCATTACCTGCCAGCTGCTTCAGGAGTCCCATGACCCAAACAGGCCCGATAGAACTCCTTCTTCAGCTTGATGGCATCCCTTACTTGCGGTGTCCACCACCATGTTTGGGGATTGCTGCCGTGACAGGCACCGGAGTCCTTATAGCCACAGCTTTCACCTGCCACCCTGACAATGAAAGTGGAACACAGTCCATTCGGACTAAATGTCCCCAGTCTCCCTCGGCACCTGTTTGACATGCGGTCGGAGGTGGGAGTTGAAGACCTCTCTGACCGTGGGAGCACTATCCAACATGCCCCCCAGGGACCCTAAAAAGGCCGGGTACCCTGCACTGCCATTAGGTGCATAAGCACAAATGACAGGGACCCTAACCCGTCCCCTGACCCAAAAGCACAGGGAAACAACCCTCTCATCCACCAGGGTAGACATCAACACCTGACGAGTTAGCTGGGGGGCAAAAAGCAAGCCCACACCAGCCCGTCACCCCTCACCCTGAGCAATGCCAGAATAATGGAGGTCCACCCTTTGTCGAGAAGAATGATTCCAGAACCCAAGCTGTGAGTGGAAGTGAGCCTGACTATATCGAGATGGCATCTCAACCTCCTGCACCAGCACAGCCTCCTTCCCCACCAGTGAGGTGACATTCTAAGTCCCAAAAAGCAGAGTTGGCATCCGAGGTTCAGGTCAGCCTAGCACTTGGCCCTGGCCACTGCCCAAAACACAATGCACCGGCCCCCTACAGGCTCTCCAGCAGGTGGTGGGTCCACCAAAGAGTGGCTCCACCTTATGGTTTCAGGCTGAGCCCAACCAGGCCCTGTGGGTATAGGCCTGGCCACCAGGCATTCACATGAAAGCCCCTCCCCCAGGCCTGGCTCCAGGGTGGGGCCCTGGTGACCCCATACCGGGTGGGGTAAATGTGAGCCTTGACTTATTTACTCGCCATAAGAGTCCTATGAACCAACCTTTGTCTGGTCTGTCACCCAGGACCTGTTTGCCTACTACTAGGGACATATAGCCAGCCCCCAACAGCATAGCTCCTGGGATCATTCAGGCACTCAAACCCCTCCACCACATTGAGGTGTCGGTTTCAGGGAGGGGTGTTAGGATAATAATACGGATAAGGATAATAGCCTTTATTGGCCAAATATGTTACAAGGAATTTGTTTCCAATACAGAACTGAGGCAGCCATCTGTGTCGCCAACTCAACCGATATATGAAGTACATACTGTTATCTTGTTTATTTTTAGCCACTACAGGAGGTAGAAGGATTCGTAGACAGAGTGAGAAGAGGAAAGGCAGGAGTATAGGTCTGAGAATAGGGACTCTTAACATTGGCACAATGACAGGGAAAGGTAGAGAGCTGGTGGACATGATGGAGAGAAGTAAGGTAGATATACTGTGTGTGCAGGAGACCAGGTGGAAGGGTAGCAAAGCGCGTAGCATCGGAGGGGGATACAAACAATTTTATTAAATCAATTTTATTTGTATAGCGCCAAATCACAACAAAAGTCAACTCAGGACACTTTACAAAGTAAGGTCTAGACCTTACTGTTACTGAACGACTGAGACAAATGGGAGATTGGATATTGGTCTATAATTAGCTAGGACACCTGGGTCAAGAGTAGGCTTTTTGAGTAGAGATTTAATTACTGCAACTTTAAAAGCCTGTGGAACATAACCTGTTAATAGAGAAAGGTTAATCAGATTTAATATGGATGTGTTGATTAGGGGAAAGATGTCTTATGATGTATTATGGTGTGGACAGGAAGAGAAATGGGGTAGGAGTGATCCTGAAGGAGGAGCTGGTGAGGAATGTTTTAGAGGTGAAAAGAGTGTCAGACAGGGTGATCAGTTTGAAGTTGGAAATTGAAGGGGTAATGTTGAATGTAGTCAGTGGTTATGCTCCACAAGTAGGGGGTGAGTTAGAAGAGAAGGAGAGATTCTGGAGTGAGTTAGATGAGGTGATGGAGAGTATTCCCAGAGGGGAGAGAGTGGTGATTGGGGCAGACTTCAACAGGCATGTTGGTGAGGGGAACAAAGGTGATGAGGAGGTGATGGGCAGGTTTGGTGTTAAGGGAAGGAACCTAGAAGGACAGATGGTGGTGGACTTTGCTAAGAGGATGGAAATGGCTGTAGTTAACACCTATTTCCAGAAGAGGGAGGAACATAGTTACATATAAGAGTGGAGGTAGGAGTACGCAGGTAGACCACATTCTATGTAGACGAGGCAATCTGACAGAGATTAGTGACGGCAAAGTGGTGGTAGGAGAAAGTGTAGCCAGACAGCATCGAGGCGACCCCATTGGTGTGTAGGATGACTCTGGTGGTCAGGAAGAAGAGGAGAGGAAAGACAGAAAAGAAGACCAAGTGGTGGAAGTTACAAAAGAAAGAATGTTGTGAGGAATTCAGACAGAAGTTGAGACAGGCTGTTGGGTGGTCAGGAAGAACTTCCAGATGACTGGGAAACTACAGCAGAAGCGATCAGAGAGACAGGTAGGATGGTGCTAGGTGTGTCATCTGGAAGGAGGGGTTTGGACATGTGCAGAGGAGGGATAGTGGTTATATTGGTAGAAGGATGTTGGAGATGGAGCTGCCAGGCAAGAGGTCAAGAGGAAGGCCAACGAGGAGATATATGAATGTGCTAAAAGAGGACATGAAGTTAATTGGTGTGAGAGTAGAGGGTGTCAAGGATAGAGTTAGGTGGAAACAGATGATTCGCTGTGGTGACCCCTAACAGGAACAGCCGAAAGAAGAAGAAGAAGAACTCCAAGTGAGAAACTTCTTTTTCGAATTGGAAAAATCAACTGGACTAGATTTCTAGGTCGAAGATGTTTCACCTCTCATCCAAGAGGCTTCATCAGTTCTGACTGACTGGTGTTGAGCTGGAGATATTTATCCCCCTCGGTGGTGTTTCAGTCCTTTGATGGCCAACAATGTCCCCTAACGACCTCCGAAGGATATTTCACAACCACAATATCCCAGTTAACTTTAAACCAGGGAACACCCTGCAGCAGAGACTGGTCCACCTGAAGGACAACACACCCAGACATAAACAGAGTGATGTGGTGTATGCAATTAAGTGTAGTCAGGAGTGTAACGACTTGTACATTAGTGAAAATAAGCAGCCGCTGCACAAATGCATGGCCCAACACAGGAGGGCCAACCCTGGTGGACCAAACTCAGCAGTCCACCTCCACCTGACGAATGAGCTGAAACATCTTCTGCCTAAAACCAAATCGAGTAAATTTTTTTCTACATTTTAAAGTGTATTACCTGTCCCTAGGCTAGTGGTTAAGGCACAGTGCTATCAGTGCTGTGGTCAGGGTTGCGTCAGGAAGGGCATCTGGTGTAAAACACATGCCAAATATCAACATGCGAGTCGTCAGTGATAAAAAGCAAATGCTGAATGTGTAGTGATGGGAAAACACCATGAAGTGGACAGTGCGATGAAACGATACAGGTGGTGTTTGTATAGTCAAGCATGTTTAATCAGATTACTGACAGCTGCAGACAAATGGCTGCTTAGAGAGCGCCCCCTCAGGCTGATAGTTGACACTGAACAGTTTTTAATCAACACCAAAACAAACTGGTGTCGACTTATGACCGATAAAACAATCAGCATTTTCAGATAATCAGAAAACGTTCCTCGCTTCTTTTTTTATTTTAATAAGATTCCTATAAAAGTTGTAACAGTTAAAATTCGTACAATGGTGATATTACAAAACTGACATGATAACTAACATAAAGAACATCGTTTTCTCTTATGAATCACATGGATATTTATATTCTAACAAAACTCAGTCGTTCTTTTCTCTTCCTCCTCGTCTGCAGCATTGCAGGAGACGGCACGCACCTGCCCAGCACAGGGTGGCACTTGTTGCCATTATGACCAACAGGGCAGCAGCAGAATCCACACTGTAATACTGGAACCAGTTCAGGTCATGTGATGCTAGGCGCAAGTGTCGTGCACCACCGTGGCGCATAACAAACTCCACCCAGAAGACGGCAGTGCTCAGCGGTGTCACAGGCTGGTCACGTTGCAGCTTGGACAAATGCTGCATGCTGGACCTGTACCTGAGCATCATGGGAAAAATTTAGGTGGTCACACTACATTTTAATGGGTTAAATCCCAATTCCCTTAACTTTGTCCACATCTCTCTCACTTTGTATCTTGTCCTAGTGCTTAGTCCTGCCAACATAAAACGTGGTGTTGTCACACTCCTTGAGCCTTGCACGAACTGGACGTCATTCGTGTTGAGTGAGGACCAAGGAGTGACAAACAATCAAAGAAGGGAACTGGGATTGACACATTTTTAAATGTTAGTATGGTTTTAGTGTGAAGGAGCAAGTTAAAAGGAAACTGAAAAACCTTATTCAACTAATATGATTCAGCACTCTAAGTAAATTAAGTTAAAGAAAACAAGAAAGAAGTAATATCTTTAAAAGCAAAAGTAAACTTTAGAACTATTCATTCATTCATTTTCTACCGCTTAATCCCTGAACGGGGTCACGGGTGGGGCCGAAGCCAATCCCGGCCGGCAATCGGGCGAAGGCGGGGTACACCCTGGACAGGTCACCAATCCATCGCAGGGCTAACACATAGACGAACAACCACACATACACGCACACACGCACTCCTATGGGCAATTTAGAGACACCAATCAACCTAAGCTGCACGTCTTTGGTCAGTGGGAGGAAGCCGGAGCACACGGAGAGAACCCACGCAAGCACAGGGAGAACATGCAAACTCCACACAGAAAGGTCCCAGGTGGGGCCCGAACCCGGAACCTTCTTGCTGTGAGGCAGCGGCGCTAACCACTGTGCCACCGTGCTGAACAGAAACTTTCCAAATAAAATGCAACTTCCTGGTTCACACTCACCTGGGCTGGTTGATGACGGTACGCAGCGCCTCTGAAAGCTCATCGGCTGTCATGTGGCTGAAGCTGACAACAACGGCAGCACCGCGGCGGCTCAGGCGGGCAAGGTTATCGGACTGATCGGCGAACAGGGGGACCCCAACCACTGGCACGGCGTGATAAACTGCCTCGTACAAACCGTTGGTTCCGCCATGAGTCACGAACCCTCTGGTCTTTGGGTGACCTGAGAGGGAGTGAATGCAGGGCTGTTATTGTCAAAGGATTCTGTACTGTTAGAACTTAAGATAATATTTAATATCTCTGCTCATGATTATTTTGTAGCAAACACTAATATTTCAAGCAGTATTTTAGTATAAAAATTAACAGTCAGTATTTATTGATGCTAGTCAATCAGACACATCAGCTAATGTTTATGTCAGAGTCTACACCTGACGGAGGAAAAAAATGAGGCCTTTGTTTGGCTTTTATTTTGAAATGTTTGATGTGATATGGTTTTTAAAAAATCAAAGTGTAAGGAATTCAAATCAGAAGGTTTTTTTACCCAACAGGTCGTTCTGAGGAATCCAATCGTAAAGCTTTGTGTTTGCCGCCAAGGTTTTAGGAGCTTCTCCACTATACCTCCAGATCACCTGCACACAAACACAGCGTTTCTGTTGATTTATACTGGTCTCAACATTTGTTATAAAATGTCTTTTAGTAGTAAAAGTATTCACTATGGGTCTAAGGGGGGGTCTTTTACTGCATCCAGGTGACCTGATAATAAACTCATAATGTTTCTTTACTGGAAACTGAGATTTCCCAATCTCCCTGAACATGCGTCTCTTAGTGGGTGGAGTGTCTGACCTTCTGTGGGATTCGTCCAAAGGCGGTGGCAATGACATCAGCACGCTCTGTTGTCAGGTTGGTTACCATGGAACCAAAGGAAACGACAACCACACCGGCGTCGCCTGCACTCTGCAAAAACGCCTCTATGTCCTCTGGCAGCTGATTGGCTGGTTTGCAGTGTAGCCCACCTACATATTTGAAGTTGGGCAGGGTTGGTCGTGGTGACTCGAGGTCCCAGAAAGTCCTAATGAGCCAGATTTCAGCATTTCCCAGAGTCCCACAGACACTGCTGGGAATTCCTGTCCACACAGAAACCTGCGGTTATTCTGAAGGGACAGGCCAGTAAACACCAACAAACTTCAAAATAAAGGTGACCATGTGCGATAGGAGAGAAGCTGGGGAGAATGAGCTCGTGGCCCAGTAGATTTTGTGGAATATATAGTTTTAAAGTATGTCTGATGTGGGTTTTAATTTATAATGTTACATTTGTCTTATTCAAATCAATTTGGTTTTAAGCCTTAATCTCCCCCCCCCCCCCCCAACTCACTGACCTTTGACCTCACTGTAGTACTTATCCAGGGTCAGCTTCCAGAACACTTCGGTCACCACTGACAACCAAACATATGTCACCGTGTTGATCAGTCTCTCTACAAAGCTCATGCGGTCACTGTATGGCAGTGGAGCAGCGGGGACATATGACGGCGGCGCCGGTGTGTGGCCACAGTGTCGTTCAAGGGCATTGCCAAATGAGAAGCGCAGAGAAATGATAAAAGGCAGGCCGAGCACATCGGCCACCAGGTCGGCACACATCACCATCGGGTCAAGCAGGACGACATCAAACGCAGCATCTCGAAGAGTTGCCATCAGCTGCTCATTCTTCAACATGGCGTCACACTGTTGCATCCCATAATCCACCATTTGTAGCATCCAGTCACACATCCACAAAAACCTCTGCAGTGGGGATGAATCATGTGACTCGTACATGGAGAAGTGAATAAAGTCCTGAGTGAGGCCATGAAATTCAGATCTGTTGAATGGAACCTGGAGAAGTAACAAACGAACACAGTAAAAACACCACAAAAGAAAACCAGTTCTATTAAGTTTAACCTGGCCCTCACCTTGAAAACCAGGAAGCTGAACTTGGTGGTATCGCGGCTGTTGTTGTAGTTGACAGACGGTGATGCCTCAGAAATTAAAACTGTGACTGAGTGGTTCCTCCTCACAAGCTCATCCATGATGCTCCTCATATTCAACCAATGGCTGTATTCACCTGGAAACACCAGCACACGTCCGCCATCCACTGCAGTGAAGGGACTGATAAGGAGCAGGAAGACGGGAAGAAGAGGCGGGGAAATCTGCATTGCAAACCAAAATTGTGAAGGACAAAGATTTTCCTATCTGAAGCTGTAGAAAGCAAACCGATCCGAGTCCAAATAAGACTGCAAAGACTCAAAGGTAACTGCAGATCCAAAGTCCAAACTGGTCAGAGGTCAGGTACAGATAAGAGCTGCACTCTGTGGACCACAACTCACCGCAGCAACAATTATACAACAGTGTGTTTCATCTGAGGACTGACAGCTAGACCAGCATTTCTTCAGTCATGGCACCCTTTAAAAGTGCACAAAATGTTGAGTCAATCTGGTCTAAAGTGTAGAAGACAAACGGCATTAAACCACAGGTAAAATAAAACAGAATCATAAAATAAGTAAGCAGGCATACTGTATGTTTGCCCTAGTCGGTACCTGTGACAAACACCTCCTATGTTTTAAGGAGAGACAGCCAGGAAGTAAGTAGCTTGTGAATTTACTATCTAGGATTAATAAAGTCTTAATGATCTGAAAAGTTGTTAAAGTTGAAAAATAAATGTTGAGTTAAAAAGTATAAAGTTTTTCTCTAAAAATGTAGAGATGTCAAAGTGTTAAATGTTCAATTTCAATGCCAAACGTCAGGACAAGATCATGGGTGTGATTAAAACAATGAGTGCGTTCATTTACAGTTTGAGAGAAGCCAAATGAGTCTAGTAATGAATTAAACGTATTGTTGAGTCAATCATTGTCAACATCTACATTAATAATAAAGTCACCCACTATGATTACTTTATCAGTACTAAGCACTAAATCAGAGAGAAATTCTGAGAGTACAGTCAAATAGAGTAGAAAAATGATCAACGTTTTTACTGGATTGTAAGCAGAATCTACTCTGCAAGATCAAAATGAAATATTTACTGTTTATTTCAATTGTTTTAATCTGAAAGGTCGTCTATCGTTTGTGCGGTTCCACTTCATTTCCGCCGGAAGTTACATCGCTGTGACTTCCATTAGCTTGACGCCGGGTTGATGCAGTAACAGTCATCGATTAATGTGAATGTCAGGCCGAGCACATCGGCCACCAGGTCGGCGCACATCACCATCGGGTCAAGCAGGACGACATCAAATGTCGAACCAGACAGGTTGGATTGAACAGGTGTATTCACCAGACAGGTTGGATTGAACAGGTGTATACACCTGACAGGTTCGACATTCGCTGCTGATTAACCGATATGAGAGAGAAGTGAATATAACGATGACACGCGAGGCTCGAAAAGGTAAAGTTACCTGTTACCGTGCCTCGGTTCGTTCCGGTTTATTAACGAACCTGCTAACGGCTGCTAGCCGCTGCTAGCTCGATAAGTTTTATCTTATTTCCCCTATATCACATTTTGTCCTCACGTCGGTCCGCAACAGTCCCGGTTTCTGTCCATTTCCATTCGTGTTGCGTGACACAGAATGCTCGTGTGACATTAAACGTCAGAATCAGAGTTGATCATCTGACGGTGAAATCACATTTACAGGATAATTTCTGGAATATTTACAGTGAAAATATCGCGAGAGTACGTGGGAGCAAAGGGGGCTTTTCGAAAAGGTTTGACTTTATTTTAGTTCATGTTTGTTTGAAGTGGTGATAGCACAGTTAATAAAGTCAGTAAGAAACGAGATTAGATCTTAGGTGTGTGTTTCTGGTTTCTGGTACAGACTGAAGGCTGGTGGAAGCCCCCAAGTGTCCATCCCATTGCAGCTGTTGGTTACTGCCTGCTCGTGTCCGCTGTCCAGGTGCACCTGAGCTCAAGCGTGCCCAAGATGTTACAGATCCAGAGGGGGACCAGATGTAACATTAAGGATACAGGCCTTAGAAAATACACAAGAAGAAGGATCCATGGCATAAATGATTTTAGCATATAAATATGCAAAAGATGCATTAAAAAAAGATGTTAATGTAGAAGTCAACTATAGTGAGGCTGAGATTAAAAGATTAATTAAAAGGGAAATTGGATTGGTCAGAAACATGGGATAAAGAAAGCAAGTGTAGGTACTATTATACAGTAGTATTCAGCGGAAAGCAGGAGAAATGAGAGAAAGCCATAGGAAAGAAGATGATTTCAAGAATGAGCTTTGATCACATTGGATTGAACAGTAGCCTCTGATGTTAAAGTACTCAGAGGTTTGTCTCTGGAAGACAAGGTGTGCAAACATGGTGAAAACAGTGAGACTCCACAGTCTGCCACAGATATACTAAAAGTACTAGGTATCTACTCACACATGCTGCTACTTGTACTGTCATGTAATTGTTACTTTGGATTTTTAATGTTTTATCTAATTTGCATTCTAATGTTTTATCTATATATGTATGCACTTTGAATTGCTGTTGTGTATGAAGATGTGCTATATAAATAACCTTGCCCAGCCTACACTGAAGTTGTTAAAAGAACATAATACTGGTGAATGTGAGCTTTGTGGGGTATAGGAAACAGTGGAGCAGGTTTTTCTGAGTTGTCCAGGGTTCTGGCTGAAGAGGGACTTTTTTAAAAGTAGGCTACACTTCAAAGCAATGGCATAAGATTTAGTTTGAAAGAGATTTTACAAAGGAGTTCCGGGGATGCAGGGTACAGTGCAATCTTTAGATTCTTAGAGGGTACCGGAGTGAGTAGATCATACAACATAAACAAAGTAGGGATTTCATTATAGTAGTTGTAGAAAGGAGCCATTCTGATCAACAGAAGAAGAATTTTTTTTTTTTAATTGAACAATTGGATTTACAACAAATGTGGCAAATATTAGTATTCCATAACATTAATATAGAACAGGTGCAAGAGAGGAAGGAGAGAACAATAAAAATAAATACATAAATAAAATAAGGTTACAGAAAAAAGTAGTAAAAATAATAATAAATAAAATAAAATTAAGTGAAAAGTCATGTTAAAAAATTATGGTTTTGGTATTAAATTATATTCTTCAATTAAATTAAAAAGTATTGTAGCATTTTTGGTTTTCATTAGACTTAGGGCTTTGACAAAAACAAGAAACTCATTGAGAAATCTACAGAAACGAGGTACAATTTTCATATACTTAGCTTTATGTATATGAAATTTCCCAAAAATGATGATGTTGTTGATCAGAAAGTCAGCGTTGGCATTGTCCATCAGGAGTCCATAAATAATGTCTTTTTGGGTGAAGTCATTTAGGAGGTGAGTCTTTGATTGGAGCCAAGGCCTCATGCCAGAAGTTCTTCACAAACGTACATTGGAAAAAAAAGATGTTCTGCATTTTAATCTCCATCACAAAATGTACAGTTATTGGATTCAATACCATATCGATGTCTCAACAAAGCACTGGATGGATATATGCCATTCAAGGTTTTAAAATGAAGCTCCTTGGCTTTCGGAGCGACAGGGAAATGCAAATACTTTGTTCATAACAGGTGACTGTGGCACCTGCCAAGAGGAGCTTTTCAAAGATCAAGCTGATTAAGACCTACTTGAGGTCTACCATGGTCCAAGAGCATCTCAGTGGACTTGCTGTCATCAGCATCAATAATGTTTCTCAGAATTTGTCATTTGATGCAGTCATTGATGACTTTGCTGCAAAGAAATCCAGGCGTGTTCAGTTTTGAAACTGTTCTGAAATTCTGAATATAAATTCTTTTGCACTTTTTTCTTGATTTGCATTTTAATTTCTAATTTCATTTTTGTGTGATTCTTCAGGTGAATGTAAGTCAAATTTATTTATTAGCACAAATTATTTAGCACTTATTTATGTTAGTAAGGTTGGTTCTAACATTTGATTGAAGGAAGTACTTATTTAGTAGAAGATTGACACCATGACTGTTGTTCATTTAACCTGTGTGTTCACTTTGTGTATGACTATTCTATCATACTAGAAAAGGAATAGTTAAGATTATATTTTAGAATACATAAGTTCACATACTTACATGTCACAGATATGTTTATGAA